TAAGAGATCGAGAAAACAGGTGGCAAGGCCAGACAGGAAAGGTTAGACAGAGTGAACAAGGACTGAAATAAAGCAGGTTTAGAGAGGAAAGATGGTGGTTGGGAGACAGGGGGGAAATCGTGCTGCTACATATTAGCTCCCCTCCGTCCAAAATCCATCACTCCGGATCTAACAAAGCACCAACTATTCCTCTCACTCTCCTCCTCACTTACTCTCACTCCCTCCCTTGTCACCCAGTGCCCTTTGCCCTGGGTGCAGTGTCCTTTGTTTTGTTTTTTTTTTTGGAAAATTAACTGGTATCTACTACTAGAGGGGGTGATACAGCCGTCCTGCTGGAAAACGGGTCCATGAACACACACAATTGGTAACCAAAAAAGACTTCTTGTACCCACCAGCATTGATTGGCCCAGAGATACCGGGGCATGTGACGAACTATCTTCTGTAATCGCGCGACTTCCTGCGCGAGGCTGCTGTGGGGAAACAGGAGGGCTTTGATGGGTGACGGGCGTAAGCGGGGATCGGTTGGGCAAGTTGCATGGATGCCCTCGTTTCCTTTTGCTTTTATTGGAGTTCGTCGGGCCGGTGCCGGGAAAGTCCCGCGCCGACGATTGAGTGACCGCGCCCTAGCGAGCGCGAGAAATAACGGTTGCCATAACTTCTTTCTTGTTCTGCTGAGAGCACTAGGAATTTTGGCACGATTAGCGCGCGAGAATTTTCGTTTTTAAAATTTGAACTAATGTCGAGCCACCGCAGGCTCTTGGAATTGTTTTTTTTTCGGAATTTTCTTTTGCAATAAGGATTTAGACTAGGAATTTAGGCACCTTGCAATTTTCTGCATGGCGCTTCTTACTTGCACGCGCCGTGCCTCGACAGGGTCTGGGCTCTGATTTCCATCCGCGCCTTAGTCCTGTGTGTAACTGTAGCTTTTGGCGGGCACAATCGCAACTGTAATCTTCTTGTTCTTGATGGCCTTTGTGTTTCTCTCTTTCCCGCCTCGTCTTCGTATGCACACTCTCCCCCTCTGTTCTAAGTGGTTCCCACGTTGCATGCCCGGATCAATGCGCGGAGAGTGGCTTCGTCCCCCGCGCCGCGGCCTGAACATGCAGACGTAGGCATTCCCTCTTTCCTCTTTCTCATCACTTGTGCTAATCCCGTATCCCTCGCGCCAGCATGCATGCTATAAATTTCGCAAGCGCGATTAGTTGTCTCTCTAAGAATCTCGAGGTTAGCGCGATTAGTGAGGGTCGGCTAACGAGCAAGTTTGGAATGTGAGTGAGTATGAGAGTTGGGCGATCCGACGAGCTGGTGCTGAGTGCGCGGGGTTGACGCGTGGTCGCGAAGGACTGTGGCACGTGGACGAACCTGGCTTGCACACTCAGGCCAAGCGGGGTGACGACTCTGTGTAGCTTTGGAGATGCGGGGCGATGGACTGCCCGTAGAGAGAGAGAGAGAGAGAGAGAGAGAGAGAGAGAGAGAGAGAGAGAGAGAGAGAGAGAGAGATGGGGATATGGTGGAATAATGTCTTCTTATCCCTACCTTCTACGTAAACTTGAAGTTTTGATTCCAACGATTGGTCAATTCTGTTGCCGCACCTTCGGATTTCTTGTGTGAATCATCTCGGACTATCTACTTTGTGTGTATGTATGCATAAGAATGAATGAACTCGCGTCCCTTTTTTTTTTGAGTTGTCCTTAATCTCCCATTTTGTTTTGCTCAATTCCAATTTCGTCACTTTTGAGTACCCGTCTGCGTTGCGCGTATAACGACCTACGCGCGCATCTTGTCCAATCACTTGTTTTTGAGTCGCGCATGATTGCGAGGATCACAGGGTGCGTTGGGTCTGAATGCTAAACTAACTCTGCCCTCTTTTGTATATGATGGTGTGAGCATGTATGCACTGATTAGTTCTGCCTGAGATTTGGATAACGGTTGCACGGAAGGACTAACTGCAGGCATATAAGATAAATTGACACGCAGTTAAATCGCTCATTGGCAACGTACTCGCACGCAGTCTCCGATCCGATCGGCCGGCTCGTGTGCACGCATGCGTAAGGTAGCCGCCCACAAAGGTAACCTGCGGCCTACGCTCGCGCATGCAAGAGCCAACCCGATCCCGCTCGTCGAAGATGCCTGCGCTAAGTTCCGCCAAATAGGATATGGCGATCGAAACTCCTTTCTGGATTACCGATCGCGAGAGCCTGAGAGATCCGGAATACCGAGCGTATTGGGAAAGGGAACAAGTCAGACGGCAACAGACCAGACGACGACGAAACCTACGGAACCCTTAGTACCCCTACTGAACTGGAAACGAGTAGTTGTGCAGGGGCGATTTCCAACTGGCAATAAACCGGGACTCCCGGATCCCGGATTATCTCGATAGTCGAACCCAGCATTACCTTCTAACCCCGGGCTTCGTGGCCATCACCACTAACTTCCCTCCCTATTACATCGTCCTCCCGTACCACCAACTACTCGTCGCCCCCTGGGAGTCCATAGCTCGATTTTGGCCCCGACCGCCGTGCTCAGATTGTCAGCAGCACGACGCGTACGGTCCGACGGGGATCACTTGACGAACCCGTTCTGAAACCGAACAACGAGAGCGCAGTTCGTCCTCATCAGCCCCAGAGACTTGCGTCGGCCGACAACGGTATGAGCATTCCCACCGAGACACCCGTAGTGCCCCACTCGAGCACCATACGCGGTCCATGCCACAAGATCGGCAATCACCCCAACTCTGAGCCGAAAGAGACACTTGCGCTTCTACCCACGGAACTTGATACAGGAAATTCCAGTTCCGACCTGGAACTCCACCCCCACTATCCTAAAATCCTTGGCACACCCCTTTTCGCACTTCCAAGCGCACTACCACTGTGAAAACAGGAAGTTGCGATGGGTGTGAGGTTGGGCGTCACAGGGCATTGACTGCACGGGTTTTGAGAGGCACTCAGCACTGTGACGTTGGGGGGGGGCCGGGGGGGATTTGTGGGTGGATGGTTGGTGGGGGGTCTGGGGGCGGGGGTGGACCGACTTGCTGGCGGGTCACCAGGGCCAGGGCGGGGGKGGCTGGGGTATGGGGGCAATGTTTTTCTCTTTGTCCCATTTCAAAGAACGTCGCTCACCACCCCGTAGCCCCCGACACACGGGGGGGGAACGGCGCCGTGTTCAATTTTTTCGTGCGTTTGAACGCGAACGCGCGTTCAGCGCGTTCAAATGGTTACACAGTGTGACGGCAAGGACTAATGGGCCAGATCTGCCCCGCCAGACCACACTGTTTGAAGCTTTCCCAAATTCTCCCTTTGGATCCCACCTCCCGCTCGTCGTGAAGCCCCGTGCTGTGAACTCTCGCTTAGCTCGTGCCAGAACCTCCTGTTCTCGTTCTTCACACACTCTGTAGTCATCACTAGTCAAAAAGGTTTCTTCCATCCCGCTATCGTACAACTGTGGACACAGAATCAGAGTGTCACCAGGGTTACGGTTGAGCGGTGCCAGTACCAATCCTTTCAAGCGGTCCTTCAGGGTCAAGACTTCCTTCATACCATTCTCCTGACAACGTCCATCCTTATTCACAAAACAAACAGCAACCTCCGATCGTGATACTATAATTCTTCAGCGGTTAATCTCGAAGTACTTCTCCAAGCTTCAAACGCATTTTTTAACTCTCTACTCAGCAAAAGATCCCTCTGATCGTGGTCATAGCGTGGTACATTCTTCGCATTACACGCGATCCCTGGTACGCCATCAAGATCACCAATTCGGAGATGAACGTGCCTGTTCCTCTTGGGAAGGGGCAATCCAGCACATGGACAGCTGGACGCACGCACCGATGCAAATTGTCAGTGGTTTTGAAGAATCTCGCCCACGTTAGGGCATCTCTTCCATACAACCCGCGCACGCCGCTTTACCATCTCCTTGATAGGTGCCTCCATTTGCATACCTCCCACTTTCCTCCTCACCACCCTCATAACCTCACTCTTCTTAATCCTATCGTCACACTGTACTTTCGCTATAGTCCTGGCTCGATATTCACGTCGAATTTATCCCTTATGACCCTAAAGATCATCGACCTTGCTTTCGTCCTGCTCGTCTTGGTCGTAAATGCCTTTCACCGCACAGTAATACCTGGCTAAATCGACAAGGTTCTTCTTCCTTAGGCGAGACCGTTTCCTCGGGTTCTTGAACATCTCGACCATCTCATCGCGAAGAGCTAGGAAAGCTGGTGAAGCTTCCGTAACTCTGTGAAGAGTGACCCTCCCTTCGATTTCGAAACATTTTTTACAGTTACGTAGTGGTCTTGTCCCATTCTCGTGTTTAACTCTGCTTTCGCCGAACAGCCTTCGCACGACCCACCAAGTTGCCAACCATCAACTCAAGTAATACAAGTATTACCTCCGTTACAAATGAGAACAGCTCCCCCTTTCCGTTTCGACAACTACCGTAGTGTTTCCAAGATTCTAACCGTTCCTACTGTATTGCCGCCCTGTCGTACTTCCAAGATCTTTGCGCTCTGCTTCTGATACGCTACTAATCTTGTCCCATCATCCTTCCTCCACTTCCTCCGTTCCTTCTTTCTCGATCTGCGCTTACTCTTCTTCGGCGCTTTCCTTACCTTAATCGATCTAATGTTTAACGTTGGTGACCATTGCCTGATCAAGGTATCCTCCATGGATTCCAATTCCGAACGATCCTCGCTAATAAACAGAGGTAGTAGAGCCACATAACGATGAGCACCCACCTTCCCCAACCTGTTGTATAGCTTCCTCCTTTGTTTGCTACCCTTCTGACCATGGCTAAAGTGCTCACGCCATCTCGCCCATAACCCTCTCGCGGTAAGCCCGATGTATGTCTGCTTATACCAAGGTGATATTAGCAGATATACACAACTATGAGGTTCCGTTAGTTCGAAATTGCTTTTCTTCTCTTCGTCTCCCCAATACTCTACAAATTTCTCGCCCCATTTAAGTCGTCCTTCTAGGATCAGTCCAATAGTAGCAGCACGCAAAATCCTTTCATCATCTTTACTCCGCCCGTTGTTCTGTGGTCTACGTTCACATATATATTCGGCGATCTCAAGATAGTCGTCGCGACGAAAAAGTTCTCATTCCGATCCCTCCTCGAAATAGGACTCATCGGAGTCAGAGAATTCGTCCGCTTCCACGTCTTTTACTTCCTTGATAACTACTCCCTTAGTGCTTCTGGTCCCTGTGCATGGAGTAGATGGCAGTGGAATAACAACTGGGTCGTAGGCTATTGCCGCTCTTCGAATAACCAGCCTCCTGATTGCCAATTCTTTTTTGCCGTATGTCACTTTCTCGCGCCGACAAGCTTCTTTCAGCTCCTCTATCGACAGGGAGTCATAGAAGTTCTGACATTCCTGTTCGAATCTCTCTTTACCCCCGACGCCACAAGATGCTGATATATGCTTGAGTGACAAGTCGATCTTCGATGGGGTGCTTGCAGACCCATAATCTGCACCCTGCTCACTCTTCAAAGGCTCGATTCTCGCTTTGGTCTCTTCGGTCAACTTTGTATTCAGTTTCTTCTCCGGTGTTACCATCGGCGGACTGTTCCCGATGGGAATATCTGGTCCTCGTTTTCGCTTCTCCACCAAGTTGAGTCTTGCCGCCATTCTCCTTAAGGAAAGGAGTTCTTCGTCTTCCGCCTCTTCGGCAGGTTCGAGGATCTTTGGAGCGATCAAGCGGCGTAGCTTCTCTTTTTCAGCCTCCATCGCCTCATTGCGCACACTCATCCTAGCAGCTCCTTTACCTTTCCTTTTGTACCTCGCCCTTTCTTCTTCCCTGTCTTTTCTCATCTCGCTCCATACTATTCGTAGCAAACGCGTGTCTCGTTCTTCTTCTAGCCTTAGTCTCTCTTCCTGCCTTTGTAGTCTCCTATTCTCCTTGATCCGTCTCTCTTCTGCCTCTTGTCGTAACCTTACTTCTTCCGCTTCTCGTTCGACCCGAAGTCTCCGTTCTTCGGCCATCTGCACAAAGTATTCCCGCATGAGTGCGTTCATATCTTCACCCGTTGCACTTTTCTCATTTCCACTTTCTGCCGATCTGCTCCGTCTCGCCATCGTATTCGTGCCGACCACCGCGGGTCTCCCCGTACATGCTTGTGTGTTTACCTGTGATGACGGTATGAACATAAGCCCTTGCGCCTTCGCTTGCCAGAACTCGGCGCAATCACGTATGAAGTGACCGCTTTCTCCGCACTTGTAGCACTTACGATTATCTGGTGGCAATCCACCGCCTCCGCCCCGTTCCATACTTTCCCTTGATTCGGAACTCTCGCTCATCAATCAGCAATCGTGAACTCTTCACCGAAGCAGCAAAACACGAAATCTTCACAGAAACACTTGATTCCCATAAGCCGCCACCTCCGCTAGGTATAATCTCCTAGATGGTTACGACCTTAACTGATAGGAAATCACAAATTGCAAAGTACAACAGCAGTACAGCACACTTGCACACCAAGAAGCTGTGTTGTATCATCAAGCATCATCATTATAAACAGACTCACGTTAACACGTGATTGTCAACAGTGGTCAGCTTGAAGCTCAAAGAAGATGAGAGTGATGAATAATGCGATAACCCCGTCGTCCTGTTGACGACCGACCCCAATCTTAGTCCCCTACAGTCCTCAACCCTCGCATCTCCGCCACTCGGCGAAAGAGGAGACCGTCGGTCTTCGATATCCCTTATATCCCATGTCAACGAAAATCCTCCTGCCTGAAAGCTGTCCTGTCAGTACCACACCACACCACACTAGAGCCCTTCTGACGGTTCGGGGGCAAAAAGGTCCAGGTTCCTCCCGGTCGGTCCGACCCTCTGAAAACACAAGCGAAACGAAAAACCAAAAAAATGGCGAGTCCAGCTACAGGTCCCTGGTTCGAGGCTGAAATAGTCCGAAGGTCGGGTCACGGATCAGGGACTTGTGGAACACTGACCTGCAACAGTGGAGGTCCCCACTGGAATTAAGAGCAAAACTACACAACCTTCACTTGGTTACGGAAAGAGTTAACGGCGTGATAGACAGTATTCCAACCGAATGGGTAGAGAAAATCCAAAATCCGCAGAAATCTTTAGAGGGTTATTGGGTAGTGGCTAAGGGAGAGGATGGAGAGATCTCTCCCTGGAAAATCCTGGTAGTTAAGGACAGCAGAACAATCGACAGCTAGTACAGGCTACAGGGTAACTGCTCACAGACTCACTACGAGAGCTGGGCCGATTACAGCCCCCCTCACCCACATGCATAATAACATTTCACGATCAGATTGCTCTCACAGCTCAAATGGATACATCAAACTGTGTAATTCAATTTAAATGTGCTTTACAGGGACGCTGGACCCGATTTCCAGCAGGTGTTGCTCCCCACCAATAGATGGAGCCATCCCGGCACTGCTAGTGGTGTCTGATCACATAAGCACCCCTAGCAGTCGCCCAGGCTGTTTCTGTAAAAAAAAAATAAAAAAAATAATTAAAAAAATAAATAAAAATAAAAAATGAAGCTGTAGCAACTAGAGGTCTTGTTTCCAAGGTAGACTCTGGCTCCCTCTCTGTGCTACAGGAGGCAGACCAAGAGTGCCTGAAGCTAGATCAGAAGGTTGCCCAAATACTGGTTCTACAAACCCTGGAAGGTTCCTCTTGGAGAGGTAGAAGTTAGTAATCTGTTTGGTTTACCATGCCATTGGGGCTGGAGCCCCCCAGGCTCCGACCAACCGATCACCCTCCTTGATTACAGACCCAAGGTGGGTTATCTCACACAGGCAAAGCCGTCTACAGTAGCCTTCGAAGTGAAAAGCAATTGGAACGCATCTCACCGGAGAGGGACCCCCGGGAAGAAACCGGTTACAACTAAAGACCTCAAGGTTCTTTGGAAGTCACTCAAAAAGATCCCATCAGTTAAATTCTCAAGTCTGGCCTGGCTGCAATCGCACAGGGCCGTGCCAACGGCCAAGTGGCTACGTCAGAGGAATATGCAAGTCTCAGATCACTGTTGATATGCAGGAAAGGTATGGAGGACATGGAGCACCTGTGGTGGGACTGTATTGAATCCAAACGTATCTGGATGTGGTGGAGCAATCATTGGGAGAAGTGTGGACCAGACGGGATATGCTGGGACAGGCATTTCGTCCTTGATGGCATCCTGCCCCAAGGTTTCAAGGCGACAAAAGGCTGGGGGTACATAGCGGTTGCTGTGCGGGCTGCTATCATGAACGTCATTTGGAAAATTAGAAACGATAGGCTGTTCAGACAGAAGTTTTATTCGGATACGTTTATAATTCAGACGGTTTTAGGAAACATAAGAGCTATGATCTGGGCTGACTGGAGGAAAGGGGGTAGTTTCCTCAGCTTGAGACCAAGACTGAAAAGGTTTTTCAGCACCTGGGGAAGAGATGGTAGGTTGGCCTCCAGAAACAGAAACGGAGGTACTATCACCCTTTCTCCATGGTTGCGGGGACCGAGACCCCCATA